TGTATTTGGTTTAAAAATCATATATTGGGGCACAGTTTTGGAGGTTTGCGTTTTTACACATTTGAAATCATTAATCAATCATCATTGTTAGACCACCATTAGAAACCTGGAAGCACTGGACGGCCGTTTCGTCCTAGTATGGGACTCCTCAGCAGTGCGCATCCACGACTCCTGCTCCTCGCAGGATTCGAACCCGGGACCTTTGGCATTGTAGGCGAACGCCTTACCATCGGACCACTGGGCCGGCATCCAACGGTGTTAATGTCTAACTCTGATTGATCTAGGGATTTTGCGCGACCTCACCCATTTGTCTTTGGTAGTTACTGCCTACACCCGACAGGGTTGAACTCCACTGGTCACGTCTTCTCAACTAGAACTCCGAGAATTTCCTCACGAAGCTAGTCACTAGTGAGCACTGTTACATTATATTGGGGCACAGTTTTGGAGGTTTGCGTTTTTACACATTTGAAATCATTAATCAATCGTGAGGAAATTCTCGGAGTTCTAGTTGAGAAGACGTGACCAGTGGAGTTCAACCCTGTCGGGTGTAGGCAGTAACTACCAAAGACAAATGGGTGAGGTCGCGCAAAATCCCTAGATCAATCAGAGTTAGACATTAACACCGCTGGATGCCGGCCCAGTGGTCCGATGGTAAGGCGTTCGCCTACAATGCCAAAGGTCCCGGGTTCGAATCCTGCGAGGAGCAGGAGTCGTGGATGCGCACTGCTGAGGAGTCCCATACTAGGACGAAACGGCCGTCCAGTGCTTCCAGGTTTCTAATGGTGGTCTAACAATGATGACTGATTAATGATTTTAAAAATCATACTCTAGGTGTGATGATGCTTATTGATGCTACACTTGCCTAAACTGAAATAGATGTATGGAAAAGGTTTTGACCTATACCTTAATGCGGGTGAAAGATGAATGGTGCAACCGATGAGTGTTGTATTCCTCTAATCGCCGAACAATATCACGAGACAAATACAAAACAAAAAAAATCTAATCTTTCATCCAACTTCTAACCTGATATAATTGGGTCTTTAAACTGAACCCGGTTCCTAAGAATTTCAAACAAAGTTCATCAATAATCAAAGTGAATATTACCATACGTATCGATCACTCAGTCATAAGCAACAAGGAACGTAACGTATAAATGCCTCTAACTGCCCTGATACAATCGACAATGGAGAGAGTTCAGTCCGCCTCTCCAAATACTTTCAAACAACCACTCTGTGTTTTCATGGCGAGGGTGTTGTTTGCAAAATCGAGAGGACAAACAACTAATATTTGATGCTTTAACAGGGATATCGGTTACAGAGGGTCCACTTAAGAGGGTTGAAAAACCCTGGTTCGAAACCAATGGTGCACACGGCTTCCAGGACAGTTTGAGAACAACTAGTGTATGAAATAATTCTTTACCATTGGCTACCGTGGGACAGCATCTCTTAACGTGGCTCTCCTGCTTTATGAATAAGATCAGTAGGTCAAAGACTTAGGGTGTAACCCTCAAGGAAAACCACCTGCACCCGGGTAGTATGCCAACCTACACACAAATCCAATGATTTGTATGGCACACAAATATTTAGGAGCCGCTTGGTATCAATAACTATGTGCATATGTAGATAGAATATACATAAGACAGGTGACAGTAGCTCACAACACTAGCACAGTCTGATGAATTTATCATGACAATTGCCAGAGTAGTAGAAGTAGTAACAGTATTAGTGAATAATCAAGGCATTCATACGCCTATAAATAAAATTTTCCTCTATATTTGAACTACCCTGTTATGTTTTTCACTTGGAAGGACCTGTTTCAAGGACGCTTTTTGGTACTGTATAAATTGCGCCTAAATTGAATGCTCGTTAATTCGTTCGCTTGGAGCTGCTCGTGAATTATGCAGTCTACCTGCTAACCTTGAACTTCTTGCTCTAGTTAGCTGGGCTGAGTCTCAGAGAATAGATAATTGTTCTGTCGTCGTGTCAATGGTTTATGTTCCGCTCACCGGTATCTTGACGCATCTTAATCAGTGCAAACATAGAACATTCAAATATTGAATGCATCAAACTTCAGTATACATACATATACTTATTTTTTCGTAATAACCCGTCAAATATCTATTCGTTCATTGCAGTTATTACTGGAGATATCTGTATAAATGTTAATGAATACCTGATGTTGACATCGGCTAGTAGTAAGAGTCTTATTCAAACTTTATAAATTCCATCATTGGCAATAATAATGATAATACTAGCAACATTAATGGTCAATGGTTTTCCTGAAGGTCTAATAAAAAATCCTAGGCTTGATTTTAAGTGGATTAAAGAATGATCAGTGCTAAAAATCACTCAAACTATACAAGATTACTTATCCAATGATTCTTGATTTTCAATAATTATTTAATTAGTGTCATTAGTTCTCAATAGAAAACCTATCTGTAACCAATTTATCCACTGAATCCTGTCATGCATAAAAGTGCTATTCATATTAAGTTCTATGATAAAATCATTTTTAATTTGAACGAGTGTCCATCACTTTGATCTGTGTGGATAATTAAAAGATTATCAATATAAAACCATCTGAACAATAATGGTTATTCTGCTCGAAGCCTGTCATAACGTACATTCAACAACTGGTCGGTATCATTGGCCATCACATATACCTCGAAAATGTTCATGATAACGTGTTTAATAGTAGAATGTTACAATTTTTCAGAGAATAAATAATTTTTAATTGTTTAATAAGAAAAATACTTATTTATCATAATGCTTGGAAACTAAATAAATTAATAAATAGTATAATATAGTTCTACTACGTGTCATCTATAGTTTAGATCAAAATTTAAAAATGTCAAAGAAGTTACCTCAGGATTTGAGCCTGGTACCATTGTCTTCACAAACACTATCTCATTATTTACTTAGCTACTGAGTCTGTATAATGGCTCACTTGTGTAATGGTTACGTGATGGTATTTAAATTAAAGCAAACAGTACTAGTTTCGATTACAGATTGAACATCAACTCACAGACGCAAGTACATCCAACCGACGAATTCCAAATAAGACGAAATGCAAATCCTGGATTCCACTGCTAGTAACGTGTAATGTAATTTGCTTATGATTGGAAATAGTGATGAAAATAAACACCTTTTCTTAATTGATTGCTAAAAGTAACTTCTTTGACATTCTTAAATTTCGACCCAAACTACAAGATGACACATAGGAAAACCAAATTATACTGAAGAGTCCCAAATAAAACTTGTGGCATGGATTCCACCACCAGCTTTATTCTGTTTAGTTTATATCAACTTGTGTCAAAATGACTATAATCGAGGCAATGCGCACAGTCTGCTCATATATCAACCAAGATTCATCAAATTTCAGTAGAAATTATTGACAATCATATTCTCAAACTGAATTAAATTATATTACCGATTTAAGTGTTTTCACTCTATACTTTTAATTCGATTTAAAAAGTCGTGTTATATATTTTCGTTTGTTAATAATCAAACAAGCATGATAAACTTGATAACATTTAAACTATTTACATGTTTCAAACTAAATGATTGACATGATAAACGATAATATCTGTTCTTAATCTTTAAACTAGGCTGAATATTATATTGATTTCCATTTTTGGTGAATAGTTTGAGCACAATTTAGATATGAGTAAAGAAAGCTATGTTTTCATTATGACAATTTTATCAGCTGTCATCCTAATGGAAATTGCCAAAATTAATCAGGGTTTAAGTATGTAAGCAAACAATCATTTTATCATGTGCGCAGACAAATTTACTGTTATTGGTGTCTCCTAAAATTTATTACAATTTAACTAAGTCAATAAGTGGGAAACGATCGGGTAAAAACAACTAGTTATAGACAGGATGGGTTTATTATTCTCACAGATTTTGAATGAATATTAGACGAAATGATCAAGTAGATGAAACGTCTACTACGATATTACACAGTTTATCATGAGATATTTAATGTAGTATGGGCAGTAGTAGTAATAGTAGTAGTAATCTAAAATATTTCACACAGTTCATGAGATAAAAGCAACATAGATCCAACGTAGATCACTGCTTCATAGCTAATTATACTCTTCTTTTAAGATGTTTGCTAAATGTTAAGTGTTAACCAATGACTTAGAATTGGTTATGATGGAGTTTCGTTCTCTGAGCTGGATGTTTTAGATTGAATAACAACAAAAATGACGCTTGAAACTCAAATTCTTCGCCGCACCGGAGTCATCATTCAAAACTGCCGGAGTAAATGAAGCAACTGAACAAGAAATAAGACAAACCACAGTACCATTAACTCGATGCAAGAGAAGCAATATCCGACTAACAACATTAGAATGAAAAGCTTTGAGGAAACTCGGAACCAGAGAAGATATTGTCAAAAGATTCACTGAAGTAATTTTGGATGAGGAAGAATATGCCAGAAAAGCCGAGGAACTACTTGAGGATTAGAGTGTATATAAACCAATGGACACAGATCCAATAAAAAGATTAGACAACCAAATCTATATCAAAACACGACCAGTGGAGAATGAAATCTGGCTAACCAGTTATCCCACGATTCTACGATACGCCAAAACTAAACATACTCAATATTCCACGGCACCTAAATGTATCCCTCCATGGAATCCCAACTTACAACTTATCCAGAGGAATTTCAAGAAAACTGAGACATTTAGTAGATTCATATTATCACTCCTCCTAAGCCACAAATTTCCACACCATCCGGAGACACAAAATCAAAGGATGTTTAGCAAGTTCAAACAGTAAGTGGTTAATGACTAGTAGACTAAATATTCTTTTCTATATCATCTTACAGTGAATCATGCCAACTTCACTTATTTTAAATAAGCGATTACCGTTAGTTTAATATTTATTCATGTCAGTCTCATTGAAATTTATTAAACACTGTTCATAATAAACATTCAAATTATATCAAGGAAAAATGATCAATAAACAACTACACAATTAACATAAACTTACTTCAGGTGTTCCATATTTTCTTCTTACTGGGGGCGTATAATAAGATGAATATGGATTAGTTCCACTCACAGTACCACTACTACTACTACTACTACTACTTATACCACTACTGCTACTATTATTATTACCACTGTTACTGATATGGGTACTGTTAGTAGTATTTAATGAATTGGATGTTGTTGATGTTGATAAACTGCTGCCATTCATAGAATTCCGATATCTTGAACTGCTACGTCTTAATCCACTTATTGCTCCAGGATAATAAGTTGTACTACTACTAGATGGATTATAGAATGAACTTGATGTATTCAGATGTGATGTTGCGCTAGGCGAAGATGATGATGATGATGATGATAAACCACTGAGATAAGTACCAAGAGGACCACCGTATAACATGTTTAATAATTGGTTTGCTTTTTTTTTCTTTTATCGTTTTCGTCTTATTAATATTTTATGCAAGCACTTGTGTTATACATGTATTAACTCGGTTGCGAATGTCTTAAAAAACAATGTAATACGTTTTTTTTTTTTTCTAAACAATTTCAAAAATAATATAAATTAGCCAGAAGATCAATATGATATTTGATGGATGCAAAGAAGAAAAATCAATTTCTAACAAAATTCAATTAAACTGTTGTTAATATCCTCCACATATTTAATGATGATGATGATGATAATAAATAATTGTTGAGTAGAAGATAGTTAGTTGAATGGATAAATAAACAATAATAATTGAAGCTGAATATTACTGGTGATTTGTTATTAGACGAATGGAACTACGATAGACAAACAGTCGAATGAATATGCTTTTTAACGCACACATCTATGGCTTACCAAATACAAATATATATACATATGCCTTTCTTGTGGACAAATAAATGTAAGTATATAGTTTATATAAATTCTTTTTATTGGCCAGCAATTGCATCTACATTAGTAAATGATCGATCGCGTCTCGCACCATTCGTTCTTTCATTATGATAGGTAAACGATACAATCTGTTCAATGTAAGTTTGTTTTTTTTCCAAGGTCAAACATAGTGCATTCACCTAAAGACACACTAAAGCACAAACATTAACCAAAGGATTATACAGACTAAACTAGATTGTTGTGCCGACAGCCTAGCTAGGATAATAACATTGAACATGGATAACAACGGTGTTACAGTTTGCACAACAGATGTGAAATCCAGTAGTCAGAACTAAATAATAATAATAATAATAAAAATAATAAAATAACATCAATCTATAAATTTCCCATTTTTCAATTAAACTAGTTACACCTTGACATACAAGAAAAAAAAATGGCTTTTTAATGGTAACCAGCTGTTGTCTGTGTATCAGTGTGCATATATCTGTGTGTATACAACTATACTAACTTGGTAGTTTGAAATCTAAAGCACAACATGTGAAATAGTCAGCACACCTACAGTGGTAGATTTTTAGAAATAATCAATTAGACTGGTCTATAAATTACTTTTTTTCTGTACAAAGTATTTTTAATAAAAGGATCTGTAGATTAATGTTGCAGCTGCTTTGTACAAATGTAACACATGCAATCAGTAGTCACTGAAGCGCGGAGAAGAACTGAAACCACAACACATAACGTTAACCGAGAACTTCACACCAAGACAAAACTCGGAATGGTAGCCACAGGTCTTAAATTATTAAAAATTTCAATACGAGGCTTATTTACAAAATAGTCTTATGAGTCATCTTGCAAGTTCAGCGTATGTGCGGCTTGCTTATCTCATTCCAAAACATTTATCCTTGATTGCCCTGCAGTAGAAAAAGAACAGAATCTATTAATAACGTCATACATAGTGATTTCAACACTGTCACACAGCCCCCTTGTCCGAATGAGACAGTTCTCGGTGCCTGGTTTCGGACATAGATTCGCTGTCTCTCCTTCTGATGATACCTCATAAAAGCTAGTGGCAATATTTCAATCTCAACGCCTTGCACTCTATCTCTAATAGTAATCGGGCGAACATGATTAACGTGACATGATGATAAATGGTACAGACACGGCTTACATGAGTTCTGGAAACGGTTATGACCGCATCTCTTGGCACTCCTGCATTCTGTAGTGCTTTTTTGAAATAAACTAACTCTCGAATAGCAATTTTATACATTTGTTATTAGAAATAAAATACAGTGTAATGTATTTTTGTTTCAGTAAATCTGATTATATGACTAAGCGTACAGTTTATTTGTATGGTTCATCAGAAAAAATTACATTAATCACCGGATCAGTAAGTCATTGAGCATCTCCATATCAAATAGAGTGAATGAAATTTCCTTACCTAAGAAGAATTTTTTTCAATTAGAGTTATGGAGATTAGTGATGGTTTCAATGTGTAAAAACACTGATCTTTATAAATCTAATTGAGAAAAAATCGTACAATGTGCTCACTAGTGACTAGCTTCGTAAAGAAATTCTCGGTGTTCTAGTGAGAAGGGTAGACTAATGGAGTTCAACCCAATCGAGTGTAGACAGTAACTACCAAAGAAAATGGGTGAGGTTGCGCAGAATCCGTAGATTGATCAGAGTTGGACATTAACACCGGTGGGTGCCGGCCCAGTGGTCCAGAGGTTAGGCAAACGCGCGCAAGACCGGAAGTCATTGGTTCGAATCCTGTGAGGTGCAGGAGTCGCGGGTGCGCACTGTGAATGTATCCCATACCAGAACGAAAGGGACATCCAGTGCTTCCAGGTTTCAAATAGTGGTCTAACAATGGTTGATTAGTTGTTTCAATGTGTTTAGGAGAAATGACAAACATTTTTAGTGAAGAAAATTTTCATTTCAACTAATTAGGATCCAAACTGAAAAAAATACTCGTCTACTGCCCCTTTTGCATATGCCAAAAAAGTGATAACCTTCAGAATTAATTTATGGATTCTGATTATAAATTCTAAATACATAATAGTGAATTAACAAGACTATGAAATATATCTTCTATATTTCATTTACGGTAAGATTTCAGTTAACTCATCAACTAATGTTGTACGATTTATTGCTCGGTTTTTTGTACTCAGTCTATTATTTACAGTTTCTCTTATTCACAATTATTTTTTGGTTTGTTCATATATATAGTTGTTACTTTTAATTTAATGGTGTGATGATGTTTGGTTTGCTTGTATATAAACAACATCCGTTTGAAATATGGACATGGTGAAGACAGGTTTCTCTTTGTGGACTGGAAGTTTGTACATAGCGAGAAGCTAATAAATAGTGGAGCAGTATGAACTGAGCTGTTAGTTCATGGTCAGTAGTTCTGTTTTGGAGTGGAATTAACCGGACCAGATACATTAATCTATAGAGTAAACAATGGACACGAAATATAGGCCAAATTAGATTCATGATTCAGATTGGTGATTTGTCATGTGGTTATGCTTGGCTCTCACAAAACCTAACATTTATTGATAGGGACTCCCTTGGAGTATACTGATCAACAACAGCAATCCACCTAGATAAGTTAGAAGACAGTTAAAAGGATAACAGCTGACGGTGTGTCTAGGATACCAAGCAAAAATCTTCATAAATACTACTTCCTTTAGAAAAGATAATTCAGTAGAGATTCTGAAAAATAAACTTTCGATAGCTTTGAAAAAATAAATAACTTAATTTTATTTAAAAAAAAGGGGAATAAGATTGATTTTCCATCAATTTCAATTTAATTCTGTTCGCTACAGTTTAATTGGTTAGTTTTATGCGAAATCGCAACCATTGAGCTTAGATATTACTAAGAATTAACAATACACATAATTTCTTCGACTGCATTAAAATACAATCTCGTAATAAATCACGAATTGCATGAAATTCAAAATATTGGTTAATAGATTTCAACTTACAGCTATCATTGCATCCTATCCACTAAGACACTATAAACATTCCTATGTTCGATTTCTGATTTGTCAGAAATATCAAAAGTTAAAGTTTCCTAAAATGGTACAACACAGCTATCAAGTGTTTCCAGCTTATCATTCATTAGCCTTTCAGCTACAATCTGTAGCACTTCACGTACATTTGAGTCTGTACACTTTTCATTGGGTTTAACAACCATTACGACTAACTTATTTAACAGACAGTCATTTGTATACCAACAACTTATCTGTACCATTGTGCTTTTATTATTGTCGCGTTTGTATAAACCGGTATGATTGAACACTGCTTACCGCATATGCACATATTAATTCTTCTTCGCTTTAATGTTAGCCTCTTTAGTAATTCGATAACTCATTCACTTCCATACGTATATATGTTTATGTACATTTTGATCCTATTCCTCCGCTTATTCAGTCTCTCGCTTGCTCTTCAGCGCTCGCATATGGTTTTCACTTCGAGTGCCTTTGGTATCGCTGATACGTTTGTGGTGCGATGATAAACGCTATCAACGCTTTGCATGTGTCTTCTGAATTATATACATCGTTACGCGTATGATCAACTCATTATTATTATTGTCAATTATTTTATAGTAAGCAATCAATGAATAGATATTCACTCACTACCTAAATGTTGAATTATATTTATGTATCGATTAGTGATTAATTCAGGGTCAATTATATTAAAATTATTATTATTATTTTTATTGATAGTTATGCTGGTTTTTTTCAGTATAAGTTTGGTTTAACTTTAGGACAACCGAACGTATCATTTATTAACCATATCGATCACTTAGAATTATAGTGATTATAGTAGTAGTATGGTGCGCGCTACTTATAAGTAGTATATGAAGCGAGTGTAAACGTAATGTCTGGCAGCAGAAGATGGGGGAAGATCAACAGAGGAAGAGTGGGAACACAATGGAATTTGTATGAAACGCATGAACAGTGAAATGTCAGACAATGGATTGATGTTTTGCAAATTAACCGTTTACGATATGGTTTTCCTATTTTACCAATTAACTCTGTAATTTTCGTTAAATACAATTCGGTTGCCCTCACCTGTGTTCTCCTTCACTACAGTAGGACTGAATAATTAGGTAAACTAAAACAAAATGTAGCATCTATCAAGAGTTCTGCCATCTTCAAAAACAGTGAGAAATGTGATTGATTCTGAGAGTATTTATAGATCAAAATATATAGCGAGTTTGGTAGCGTTACTTTATCTGAGTTCAGTGATTTAGTCGTAAAGTTTTAATTGTTCTTTAGTGGGTGCAATGACTTCGAAGTAGGACTCATCACTTTAGTGGCCTACGATCTGACTCTTATTTGTACAAACGCTTAAATATGCAATGAAATAAATCTTCCTTCTAGTTTCCGTATATCATACTTAGGTGAAGCACGTTGGTGCGATGGTGATAATAAGAAGCTAAATATGGTTTTGTAAATGAATTTATTTTATGCAGTCGTTTGCACAGACATAATCGAGGTTTTATACTGTGAAAGCGAAGCGAATTAGAGAAGGCGAGCTAACCAAACTCAGTGTAAATGAGGCATGGCTAAGTATTTATAGTCAGGTGGAAATAAGATAGAAATGTGCTAAACAAAGTAAGCATGCACACGCAAACACTCAAATAAAAAGCCAAGGTTATGAGTCACCTAAGTGGATAGGACACACATTATGGAAAGCACCCAACTGTGTCACAAGACAAGCCCTCACTTGGAATCCTCAGGGCCAACGGAAAAGAGGAGGATCAAAAAACACATTATGTCTAGAAATGGAGACAAACCTGTGAAGAATGAACAAATATTGAACAGAACTATAAAGGAACGCCCACGAAAGAGTAGGTTAGAAAATACTGGTCGGCGGCCTATGCTCTATTGAGGGTTACAGGAGTAACTAACTCAGTACGTTAGGTTATGAGTGAATAATAG